GAGGGCACGGGCCCGGCTGAGGGCCCCCCCCCCCACAGTGCACAAATTTTTGTGCACCGGGCCTCTAGTGTATTATAAAATCATTTAAGCATCACATGTTAGTGAGAAAAGGAAGAATTATTCAATAAATTGGTCTTGGAAAAATGGGTTCTTGTAGGGTGGGGAAGGGAACATATTTCTCTTCTCACTTCACACTAAACATAAAAGTAAGTTCCAATTAATTACATGATTAATTTAAATAAAATAAAAAACATGAAAATGTAGGTGAATAGATAATTCAAGTTGAATTGAAAAGGACTTTCAGAACACAGAAACAGCTATGGAAATCACAAATGATCAGGTAATGGACTTGACTACATAATGATTAACATCTGTACTCCAAAGAAAATCTTACAAGTAGACTTCACAAGAAAGTTAAACAAGCAAGTTTGAAAATATTTATAAGATAAAGACTCATGTTCCTCCTATAAACATTGACACAAACCAATAAAAATGACACTATGAATTAATAGAATACAGAGCAATAAGCTTGACCAGGTATTTCAGAGAAGAATAAGATAATACAAATGTCTAATAAGCAATAGAAAAATGTGTTTATTCTCTTTTTCAAGTAATCAAAGGAAATTTTAAAAATTAGCCCTCAATGTTTATAAGAAGAGAGCATATAGTGCAGATTCAAGTGTAAATTGATGTGGACTTTATAGAAATTAATTTGACAGTCTAACATGTATATTAAAATGATGTTGCAGCCACTGTTGAAAACAGTATGGAGTTTCCTCAAAAAATTAAAAATGGAACTCCCATTTGACTCTGTGATCCCACTTCTAGGAATATATCCCAAGAAATCAGAAACACCAATCAGAAAGGGTATATGCACCCCTATGTTCATAGCAGCATAATGTACAATAGCTAAGATTTGGAAACAGCCCTAGTGACCATCAGCAGATGAGTGGATTAAAAAACGGTGGTACATGCCCTAACCGGTTTGGCTCAGTGGATAGAGTGGAGTTTCCTCAAAAAATTAAAAATGGAACTCCCATTTGACTCTGTGATCCCACTTCTAGGAATATATCCCAAGAAATCAGAAACACCAATCAGAAAGGGTATATGCACCCCTATGTTCATAGCAGCATAATGTACAATAGCTAAGATTTGGAAACAGCCCTAGTGACCATCAGCAGATGAGTGGATTAAAAACCTGTGGTACATCTACACAATGGAATACTACGCTGCAGTAAAAAAGAAAGAACTCTTACCATTTGCAAAAGCTTGGATGAACCTGGAGAGCATTATGCTAAGTGAAATAAGCCAGTCAGAGAAAGATTAATATCACATGATCTCACTCATTTGTGGAGTATAATGAACAACATAAACTGATGAACAAAAATAGAGCCAGAGACAAAGAAGCATTGAACAGATTGTCAAACCTCAGGGGGAAGGCAGGGGAGGGGGTTTGGGGGTAAGAGATCAACCAAAGAACTTGTATGTGTGCATATGAGCATAACCAATGGACACAGACAGAAGAGGGGTGAGGGCATGTGCTAGGGGGTGGGAGTAGCTGGGAAGAGGTCAATGGGGGGAAAACGAGACATGTAATACTTTAAACAATAAAGAATTTAAAAAAAAAAGTGAAGGCAAAAAAAAATGTACGTCCTGATAAAGCAATTTTAAAGGTCTGTTGAGATAGTAATCAGGAAAATCAGGCTGATTAAAAGATAGAAACAACTTAAATGCCCAGTAATAGAAAAAGGGTTAAATTAATGATGCATGCCTATTGGATAGAATATTACGAACCCTTAAAAGAATGATGTCTTCAAAATAAGAGTTCCAAGTATAGAAAATGTTTTATATAGAACATGGATATTATATAAAAATGATTCTATATAGAAAAAAGAAATCCTATATAATAAAGAGGTAATATGCAAATTGACCCTCATGCCCTCACAAGATAGCTGCCTACGACCAGGCCAGCAGGGGAGTTAGTGAGGGACGATCAAATGATTGAACAAGCAGGCTGCGTGGGGCGACCAGGCCAGCGGGGGGCCATGAGGGGCAACCAGGCCAGCAAGGGGGGCAGTTGGGAGTGATCAGGCCAGCAGGGAGGGCAGTTGGGGGTGACCAGGCTGGCAGGGGGGCAGTAAGAGGTGACCAGGCCAGTGGGGGGGGCAATTGAGGGTGATTAGGCTAGCGGGGAGCAGGGGGGGCAGTTAGGGGCAACCAGGCTGGCAGAGGGGGGCAGTTGGAGGCAACCTGGCCGGCAGCAAGGGGCAGTTAGGGATGACCAGGCCAGCAGGGAGGGGCAGTCAGGGCGATCAGGCCAGCACGCAGAGGCAGTTAAGGGTGATCAGGCTGGTACGCAGAGGCAGTGAGGGGCAATCAGGCCGGCAGGGGGGGTAGTTAGGGGCAACCAGGCAGGCAGGCAGGTGAGCGATTAGGAGCCAGCGGTCCAGGATTGTGAGAGGGATGTCTGATCGTCGATTATGAGAGGGCAGTCGATCCCCCGAGGAGGGGGTCCCAGATTGGAGAGGGTGCAGGCTGGGCTGAGGGGAAACCCCCCCCCGCACAGATTTCATGCACCGGGCCTCTAGTCAATTATATAAAAGACTAGAAGGACTAAATAGAAATATTTGGTAAATTACTAATTTATTTATTATTGATTATTATAAATTAGTGATTACTGGTGATTTGGGCTTTTACCTTCCTATGTTTTCATGGTAGACATTTTATATGTCAAGCATGTGTACTACAATTGGAAAAATCCACTTCTATTTTAAAAAAACCTGGTGAATACTGACATGGGCCATTATTGTTATGGTTACTCTCAGATCCTATGAAACCACAATCCCTCACTTGTCAGATTACAGCAGTTCAAATATCTATCATCTTTTTCTAGAGGGCTCTGAACTCATCCTCTGGTCTCACACATGAAATATTAAACTCAGAAACATAAAACAGTATATTAGTAAGAGGATATAAGCCGTGGGCAAGGACTGAAGAGCTCTCAGGAATGAGGCACTGAGCTTTAGTTCAGCCCTTGCTTTACATGACTTGCCGATAGAACATTCCCAGCCTTTGTGTATTTCACTGCAGATCTCAGACCTCCAACATCCCAGGTAACCATTTAGTTGACTACACCTGTGTGAGAAACTGGTCCTTCACAGCCTATGTGCTCAAGTGTGTTTTATGTACATAACAGAGTATAGTAAATATATCTTTACTTAAATTTATATTTACTATTCATGTGATCTTCTTGTAGGCCGATCAAATGAAGAGGAAGAAACTTCTGATTCTTCTTTAGAAAAGCAGACTCAACCTAAACACTGCACAGAAACCTCAGGTATCCATGGTGACTCATCTTACAGTTCAGGTATGGACACCCAGGGTCTTGAGTCCAAAGCTGAAAGGATTGCAAGGTACAAAGCGGAGAGGAGACGGCAACTGGCAGAAAAATATGGGCTAGCTCTGGATTCTGAAGCAGACTCCGAATCTTTGTCTCGATATACCAAGTCCAGGAGGGAGCCAGATGCTGTTGAGAAAAGGGGAGGAAAAAGTGACAGGCCGGCTGAGTCAAGCAAAGATTTCAGTTCTCTGTACTCCAGCACTGAGATCCCAAGGCTCAAGACCTGCGTGGCTGAATCCCAGGACTATGCCCTCCATGCCAGGGACAGTGTTTCCAACACAGAGGTGCTGCTAAACATGGAAAACCAAAGACGAGGTCAAGAGCTGAATGCCACTGGGCAGCAGGCCCTGGACCTGCCCCCCACAGTTGAGAGTTCCTCATCCTTCCAGTTTTGCGGGCAAGACTGCTCCTTCAGTGAGGTGCCAAAGTCCCCAAAGCAAATGCACAGCATGCCCCTCTCTTCACCTGGGCAGCCAGCATCCCCAAGCCACTCTGGTGACCCGCCACTCCCCGCTGAAGCTCGATCAAGGTAAGCATTCAGCCCTACTGACCACTTGTCTTCTCATGGCCTGAAAGGTCTTATAGTCTGGGTATTTCTGGCATTATTTGGAATCTGGGCTCATATATATGATGTTTTAATTTTCACAATATCAAAACAGGTTCTACCAAAGCAGGAAGCCTTATTATTATTATTTTTTTAAAATAAACTAAACAGGTGCCATGGGAGCACTTTCATGGAAGCCTTGTTTCAGGGCCCTTCTTTTTACTGTTTCTCACTGCCTTTTAATGTTCTCTTTTTCTTTTATTTGTTTTTCTGTAATCATACCCAAGACTTTTTGGTGATTGCTTTTGTTGTCATTTAAAATCCCAAAGCAGAAAGACCACCACTAACCAGTGGAAGGGTTTTGGTTTAGGGCAGTGGTTGGCAAACTCATTAGTCAACAGAGCCAAATATCAACAGTACAACGATTGAAATTTCTTTTGAGAGCCAAATTTTTTAAACTTAAACTATATAGGTAGGTACATTGTTATTAACTTAATTAGGGTACTCCTAAGGCTTAGGAAGAGCCACACTCAAGGGGCCAAAGAGCCTCATGTGGCTCGTGAGCTGCAGTTTGCCGACCACGGGTTTAGGGTATGAGGTGTGACTACAGTATATAATGACTATAACTATAAAATGTAGTTATGTGGTTATATCAACACACTAAGAATACAGTTGTTTGTAAGAATGCCTTATTAAAAAAATCAGCTATTAAGAGAAATCACTGTGTAATAAGATCAACCAGAGACAAAAACAGCTCTCATTTGGAAAAAAATCAGAAAAGGCATGAAATCAGAAAGTCAAATACCAGAAGAGAGTATATGTTTCAAAATTTAAATTTCTGGGTTAAATATTTAGATTTGAATTTAAAAAGTGTGGTGACCATCTTTAAAATGTAATTTACTTAAACATTCTACTTTAAGGTTTGAGGTAATTGTCTAGGTCAGTGGTTGGCAAACTGCTGCTCGCGAGCCACATGCGGCTCTTTGGCCCCTTGAGTGTGGCTCTTCCACAAAATACCACGTGCGGGCACGCACGTACAGTGCGATTGAAACTTCGTGGCCCATGTGCAAAAGTCAGTATTTTGTGGAAGAGCCACACGTAAGGGGCCAAAGAGCCGAATGTGGCTCACGAGCCGCAGTTTGCCAACCACTGGTCTAGGACTCTAGGTCAACTAGGTCTCTAAGTAAACTCAGAAGTGTACAGTATTTTTTAGCTCAAGCAGGCATTAGCTTCACAGGTGAATTGAGGAGGGATGAAAACCTAAGGTCAAGCAAATTTACTCTGAAGAAAAAAAAAGGTGGGAAGATACTTCTATTTATTTCACATAAGGACAGAGTAGTAAATGTGATCGTTTTTAAGTAGTGGTAATACATCTAAATCAGATCATTTTAATTCTTAAAGTTTATTGATCCAAAGGTCTGTTTTTACTCACTTGCTCATCCACACTGAAATATTTAGAGACATCAGCTTCTAAGATAGTTAAATACTATAGATCCTGAGATTGTATTTTGAGGGCATTTGTTCAGCCTTTGGACTTTACTTGACATTTAGGGACTGTGACCTGTTGTCTTTTATTTTGAAAAGAAAGCCTGGTGTTTGGGAAATTTGCATTTCATAGTAGAAACAGTGTTCTTGGCTTAATTAATTTCTATCAAAGAAAAATTTTCATGTGCTCTGTGAGAAGGACAAAGAAACCGAACATTCCAATTTAGGAAGAGAGATTTACAATGAACTGGTTTTAAAAAAATAATGGGGAATCTAATTTCTGGTTGCCGTATTATGAAAACTGTTTAAGCTGTTATCACAGTATATATGTTAGTTATCTGGATCATATATAATAGATTCTTGGCGATATTTTGAATCAGTTGTAATAATAATTAAAACTTAGTTGAGTATTTCAGGGAAAAAGATAGGATAACTAATAATTTTGTGTGAGTTAAAATCTTAATATTCAAAATGTTATATAACTTAAAATCTTGAGTTATTTCTTTCTAGGTTATTTCAAGAGCAATATTACCTAGAAGTTTCCTAAGCCTAGTCTTAGCCTCATGTTGCCTTACCAGGAAGAAAGACTTAAAAAAACTAAGAAATTGTAAAGGAGTTCTTGAGGAAGCACATGCTTTATTTTATTAAATCATTCAAGGCATACAATTCTATGACTTATAGGCAAAGAAACACAAATCATTTCACATATAGTCAGGAAACACCTGATCTATCTATCTTTACATTAAAAACAATGCAAAAGAGCCCTAGCTGGTTTTGCTCAGTGGATAGTGTCAGCCACGGGCTGAAGGGTCCCAAGGCATGTGCGGAAAGCAACTAATCAATATGTCTCTCTCACATCAATGTTTCTCTCTGTCTCTCCCCCTCCCTTCCCTCTCTCTAAAAATCACTGGAAAAATATTCTTGGGTGAGGATTAACCAAAAAAATACTATTAATGTGTGACAATATGACATTTAAAATAATTAAGATTTGGTAATGACACCAGTCGTTCATCTTGTAAAGATGGACTTCAAAAGGATTACCATTCTGCTAGATGTCCGCTCTCCAGCACCAGGTAATTCAGGTGTCAGAAAGTCACTGTTATCTGATTTCCATTTGTGGGAAAGAAAGATAAAAATACTTTGTGAATTAAAACACTAACCAAAGAAACCTCAGTTACCCAGTAGTCATGAGTGAAAATAAGAAGACAAAAAAATGTCTACAAATAACAAAACATTTTAATAGCACGTTTCATCGTGGGTTTGTTCTGTCATTGAAATAGAATGTTTTTCTCACTGCTATACTGTATTGATCAGCTAGCTCTGTCAGGATTTTTGGCTATTAGTCTCTGAATTAACTCACTGCCATTTCATCATTTTATTTTGTACTCACTAGCATGAGGCTGTTTTTGTTTCATTAATTAAATATAAATACATCACTCATGAATATACCATCAGAAGACTACCTGCCATAGCCTGAAAATTAAAATATGAGCCAGATGTCAAATGCTTAGTTTTGTATGCACTCACATATACTGACACATGTACACACAGAATAATCATCAGCTCTTACACTTCACTGTACTACTGTATTTAAGCTTTATAGTATAGTATAAGTTCAATAACAGTCTTTAGGCAATATTTAGCTGAGTAATAAATTTATTTTAGAATTGTTTAATGTTCAGTTTACATGATAAAGAAGATATGTATTATGTATATACAGGATGGTGCAAAAGTAGGTTTATAGTAGTTTGTATGGAAAATAATTAATAAACGATAATACAAGAATAAACTGTTTTGCATACTCATAACTGTAAACCTACTCTTGCCCAATCCTGTATGGGTATAGGTTACAGGGTCTTTAGCTTAGAAATCCTGTTGATTGCCTGGGAATCAGGTGAACACATTGTTCTGAAACAAGTTAGGAACACACATAGTAATGGAATGGACTATAAGATACCTCCCAACCCCCACTTCCCAAGCCTGGTAAACTTAGAATTTAGAAATTGTGTTTTCTGGACAAGATAGTGTTATTAATATGAACCATTCTTTGTTGTGGTGAGCTGGCAAGGCCATGGCATACTCAGCCCTAGGGCATCTTATGTGCCGTGCCAGCTCAGCCAGGTTCAGTGAGCCTGAGAGGGGGCGGTGAAAGGATTGAGAAAAGACAGACAAGAGAATAAAAGCTGGGTCTGGGTGGGACGCTGTCCTCTCTGATGGAGAGCTAGTGACAGTGCCCGCAAGCCATGTCTTTATTTTATAGCCAGATTCCATGAGGTAAAGTAAGGGCGTGGTCAAGATGTTTACAATGCTCTAATCTACTCAGTTACATGCATGTGAACTCTATCAAGCCCACATCACTCAGACACGTGAGGCCACGTGTTCGGACCATAGGTTCAAGCTTACAAGTATAGCTGTTGGCTATAATTGTGCTGGGAGGGCTCTGCCCTTCCAAGGTGGGATTTGCACGTGGCAATGAGAGGACTGTGCCCTCTCATTAGTCTGAGGCTTGAACCTGTCCAAACACTGTAGCCACTCTCCACACTTTGTTAATTCATTCAGCCCCCTGTGGATTTTAGAATAAAATTTAAAGTCATTTAGGGCCATGGATTATTCAAATTTTTAAAAATCTGAGCTGATATTGTTAGAAATCCTGAATCAAAGCTCTTATTGAATTTGCTACTTTGTGTATCACTTGATATTAAAAAATAAATAGCCCTGGTGGGTGTAGCTTAGTTGGTTGGAATCCCATGCACCGAAGAGTTGCAGGTTTGATCCTGGTCAGGACTTATGCGGGAGGCAACTGATTGATGTTTCTCACATCAATATTTCTCTCTTTCTCTCCCTGTCCCTTACTCTCTCTCTCTAAAATTAATAAAAACATAAACTTGGGTGAGGAAGATAAATAGATAGATAAAATTTTAAAATGTACCATATTGGTTACTTCTGAGTGGAAACACTTTACCCAAACCCGCAGCTACTGTTTTCCTGAGTATCAACTGTGACTTCCTGTTCCCAGTGAGCTATGCGACTGGCAAAGGGGAGAATGACATCTAATTTTCTGGTGGTGATCTACTGTAGAAAACCTGCATTCATTTTTTTATTGTTGCTCTACTACAATCCTCATAACTCCCTTTCTCACTGACTAAATTGTAATATTAGTGACCAGAAAATGATTATAGTGGTTCCATGCAGTGGATGATGCTGCAATTTGACCCGAGGCAGCTGCCACTGGTAAAAGATGTAACAGCAGAGAGCTGTGGAGGGGCTCAGGATAGGCCAGGGCAGCCTCCACAATGAACCTTTCCTGTAACACTGTGACATGCAGACTGGGCCACCTAAGAAGGAAAGGGGCTTATGCTGCCTTCTTATAGTTTATTTCTGATTGCATTTGTCTCCATTGAGAGGTGTGCCTCTAAAAATGATCCCCAGGTCCTGAAGCTCATTTTTAAAATTGTCTGCTTACCTGCCCTGATAGAAATGTCCACATGAGACTGATGCCGAGGGAGGTAACTGCCTCTTGACCCTCAGCATTACTGTCTCTGCCTGTCTCTCCAGTGGCACGAAGGCTGTGGAGCACGTGCTCCATGTCACAGCAGAACGTGCTGAGCATCCACTCCCCAAAGAAGAGACTTTGGGGTTCCTTCCAGTGTTGGGATGGCATCCTTTTCGCCTTCCAGTCCCTGTACCCCAACATCTGCTGTCCTCGCCCTGCTCTCCGAGTTTGGATATTAACATATGCTGAACTCACTCCCATTTTCTTTTCATTTTATTCTCTTCTCACTGGCAAGCATCAATTTCTGTTCATTGACTTCAATATGAATATGTCACTCAAAAGACTTGCTACTATGTCCTGAAAATTCAAATGTCTGCTAAATTTTAAATGCGGAAATTTTCCAGGGTGCATGAGATCTTGAACATTCATATGCCTGTGGGTATGTCCAAAGCAACCATTAGCACTTCTTCCAAACAAGTAACTTCAGCAAATAAACTGTTCATTTTAATGAGATGCTGAAAGTTAATAGCCATTTTTCTTAAGCTGACTAATGTTTTATAATTAGAAGCTGTTACATAATTAGAACTGGATACCCACAGGATGAAACTATTTTTATTGTGCTGGTCTTGACCTTGCTTTGTGACCAGGAAGCACTATTGTACTCTGTTCACTCTTAGGGGTTATAGGATGTTACGGCATAACATTATATATTGAGGGACACAAACCAAGAGCAACTCCTGTCCTCTATGACAGTTATATTTCCTGGTAATATAATTCTCTGCCAGCTAGTTACCACATCATAAAAAGGTTCTGTTACAACCGAGTTTACTATCTCATGGTTCTCTTATTCACAGTAACCCTGTAGTCCTCTCCCAGGGAAGGTAGCCTCTGCCCTGTGGGAAGTTGGCTCCCCCAAGACCCCTCAAAATAGATACTTGATGTTAAATAATTTAAAGTCTTAGAAACAGAAGTAACCCTGGAGATTATTTAGTTTAAAAATCTAGTTTATACATGAAGAAACTAAAGATAAAAGCACTTACATAACTGAATTAAAACCACATAGCTACTTTGACGAAACTGAGCCCATTAGCCATCACCCACTTACTCATTCAAGTTCTCTGAATCCATCAGTTCTTTCCATTATACTCTGCTCTTATTTTTTATGGAAGGTATGAATTGGGACAATGTATGTATCATCTTTTTAAACTATAAAAACATAACTCATAAACATGTAATACTATGTGGTCCATGAAGAAAGAAGAAGAGGAGACCAGCATTTTGAAGGGCTTATGATATTCTCGGCACAATACCTTCACATATGTTCTTTCTCATTACATACATTTATGATATATATTAAATGCCAAAATTTATTTGGGCTAGGTGGGGGTGAAGGGATTGAGCAAAAAAGAAAAAAAGAGAGAGAAAACTCATGGACACAGACAACAGTGTGGTGATTGCTGAGGGATGAGAGGAGGAGGAGGAGGATAAAGGGAGAATAAATGGTGATGGACACATAATACAGGGTACAGATGACGTATTGTGGAATTGTGCAGCTGAAACCTGTATATGTTTGTTAACCAGTGTCACCCCAATAAATTCAATAAAAAAGGTGGGGGATTTGAGTAGCCCCTTACATGGTAGTAGTTACTTGGTTTTTTTGGCAAGTTCCATATCTAAGTTGTAATGAATAAATGGAGCACAGCAAGTCATCATGTCTGTGATTTTCATTTTACAAATGCTGACTAAATATATTCTTAACTCTCCTGATAATTTTTATAGTGATGTTCACCAAGTTTTATTCTTATCTGAAGTCATCTTCAGAAAATTGTTTAGCACTTCACAGTTTACAAAGCACTTTTTAAAAAAAATCTTGTTGAAAGTATTACATAGGTCCTTCTTTTCCCTCCATAAACCTCTTCCAGCCTGCTCCTGTTCTTCACCCCACCCCCACCCCACCCCAGGCCCTCACCAAGCCATTGTCTGTGACAAAGCACTCTTATACAAAAAGTATTTGAGCCTTAAAATATCTCTGTGATGTAGGCATATTAGTTATTCAGCGGTTCTCAACCTGTGGGTCGCGACCCCTTCACAGGGGTTGCCTAAGACCATCGAAAAACACATATATAATTACATATTGTTTTTGTGGTTAATCACTATGCTTTAATTATGTTCAATTTGTAACAATGAAATTGGGGGTCACCACAATATGAGGAACCACTGATATAGAGGAAGAAGGTGTAATGGATATCTGCTTTTGAAAACCCTCAAGTTAATATAACTCAGTGGTTCTCAACCTTCCTAATGCCACGACCCTTTAATACAGTTCCTGTGAAAGGGTCGTTCAACCCCCAAAGGGGTGCGACCCACAGGTTGAGAACTGCTGCTCTATATCCTGTGCTATGTTGCGTTGTATCCTTTCAAGCTTCGCATTATATGCTAAACTATTCTATGTTTATATAAATGTTGAGAAATTAGATTCTTTATTGTTGAAAAAAATGGCTTCTCATACATCTGAATTGTTTATTGGCTACGGGCTAAATTGCTATAATGCTGAAGATAGGGCAGTGGGGTAATAGGTTTGGATGTAGAAAGACAGGGGGATGTTACTGGAGAAATAGAAGTTCACATTTAATTGTAACAGATTTCAATGGTCACAGCAAAATGTACAGAAGTAAGACCTGGTTGGGGGCAGGGAGTAGGGTCCCAGAGGAAGGAGGAAGCGGGGGAGGGAATGGGAGATATCAACAATAAAAAATATATTTAAAAAATATACAGAAGTGATGACCAACAGATCCTTGCCTGTCAGGGTGCAAACCAAAACTCAAAGTGATTTTAGAAAATTCAGAGAACTTTATTATAATTATCATTTATTCTTTGGGGAATTGCTATGACCTAAAATTTGTTTGCATCCTGGTATTGAAGAACTCTTGCAGATAGGTTGACAAGGGTTTGAGCTGGTAAAGATTTTAACTCCAGTGTAGAGTTTCCATTGTCCTTTCTGTATTATAGGAGGATACAGGTCAGTACAGCTTTCCTTGCCTATGATTTTTCTCTGAAATATTTTCAGCCTGATTTAATTACAGCCAACCCTTGAACAACATGGTGGTCAGGGGCACCGTGATTAACTTGACTCTCCAAAAAGTCCACTGTAGTTATCCCTTGGTATCTACAAGGGATTAGTTCCAGGACCATGCTCTGCCCAAAGGAGGCCAAAACTCTCAGGTGCTCAAGTCCCTTATGTAAAATGGCATTGGACCATGCATACAGTCGGCTCTCCACATCTGTGGCTTATTCACCGCATGCATGTGAAACCCAGGGATACAGAGGACCGACTGTATATTTACTGGGGGGAAAAAACAACCCACATATAAGTGGACCTATGCATTTCAAACCTATGTTATTTAAAGGTTAATTGTACTCTGTCAAATTCAACCTTGCATTATATTCTATTTTGTGTTGAGGAATGACTGCGTAAAAAAATATATTATCTTGATTAGCATGATATAATGCAGTGGTCGGCAAACTCATTAGTCAACAGAGCCAAATATCAACAGTACAACGATTTAAATTTCTTTTGAGAGCCAAATTTTTTAAACTTAAACTATATAGGTAGGTACATTGTTATTAACTTAATTAGGGCACTCCTAAGGCTTAGGAAGAGCCACACTCAAGGGCCCAAAGAGCCACATGTGGCTTGTGAGCCACAGTTTGCCGACCATGGGTATAAGCTTTTTAATGAGTGGTTGATGCCTAATTCACCTTTATTACTTCTCAGAGTTTAGCTCAGTGCCTTGTACATAATAGGAATTCAATAAACATGAATCAATAGACTTGAATTAGTATTGGTCACTGTTGTGTTGGCTGCGTTATTCAGTGATAAGCAATTAAAGATATGATCTTATTGACTTTCTTTTTTATTACTTTATTTGCTCATGACTTAGATGTGAAGTATGAGAGAAACAGATGTGTCAAGAGTGAGTTCAAATTTTTGGCCAGGCCACCATGAAGAAGGAATGGCTATTTGCTGAACTAGGGATGCTCCAGTGGAAGTGAGGCTTGGAGAGAAACGAAGAGCTATTCGGACGCTATTTTTATATATAGCTATTTACCAATTTACCTTAACAAAACTTAGGGATGAGATGTTGCCTTATATTTTTAATTCAACTTTTTACAAGAGAATTTGTATTTGTGGGCAAAATGTGACTATTACAGACCATTAATACTTTCAAATTACCTGAAAAACACTATATTTGGTGGCTTTAGGTATATTTATTTCAATCTCTTGATTTTAGTAGTGAACCATATGTCCTGGAAATTCCATGACATGAATATAAACCCCATGACAAAATGTGCTTATACATTTTCAAAAGCCAGTTGTTAAACAAAGCAAATAGGTACCATACTTCAATACATTTTCAAAAGCCAGATTCTCTTAACAGAAATTAGCCTTTCAGTTTTAAATTATAATCAATTTTCTAAAATTGCTTTAGTTTGAGTTTTGGTTTACACTGACAGGCAAGAACCTGTCTATCACTGCTTCCATACATTTTGCTGTGACCACTGAAATCTGTTACAGTTAGATGTGAACTTCTGATATCCCCCATCTTTCTACACCCAAACCTATCACCCCACTTCCCTATTCCAGTATTATAGCAATTTATCCCATAGCCTATAAACAATTAAGATATATTGGACACCACCTTTTTCCAACTATAAAGAGTCTAATTTCTGTGTATGTGTTGACATTTTAATAGAAATTTTCTGAAGTTTTGTTTTTTGTACATGATAGTACAGGGAAACTCAAACATGAGTGGTTTCTGCAGAAAGATTCCGAAGGGGACACACCTTCACTTATCAACTGGCCTTCCAGGTATATTTCAAATTGAAACTCCTGGCTTTTGTTTCCTGAGTGCTTCTCTCCCTGCTGCCTTGCCTGCTGTTTCTCACATCACCCAGTGCTAATTCTTCTCTTCCTAATGGCAGTGCATTTGAAAATCATGTGTTCAGAAAGAGCTGCTGGAAGTTACTTCCTAATCATTTGCTTTTCTCCTTCAAATGTCCTAATCTCTCCTCTACTAGCATTTCCTTTTGCTCCTCTTTTTGAAACCTTCTTAATATACCTCTTGTTTTTGTCCTCTCTCGCCACCTCCCACACTGCCAGTCTACCTGGCACCTCTGGGTTGCTCCCCTCCTGAGGCCAGCAACTCAGCTGGTGTCCCATCTTGTCAACACTCCTTCACCAGCTACTCGGCCTCCTTGTTTTCATGTCTCCTCATCTCTAAACCAATAGTTAATTCTCCATAGTTAAATAGAGTGCCTGTGGTTTTAAAAGCAGACAAAACCCCCTATCATTTCATTTTTCAGATTGGAGGCAGGGAGAGGCGGAAGGAGTAAGAATGAATAAGTCATTGACAAGACAAAGCACCCATATATTGAGTTTCTAACAGTCTTTGTTCTCAGCTGAGGACAACATTCAGATTGTCTCTGTTTAGAAGGACACATTCCACAGGAAAAGTTGAACCACATTTCAGTCTTCTTTTGATTAACAAAGCTTGTAAATATAAAAACATCCAACACTAGCTAGTCTGAGAAAAATAACAACTCAGAATCCCCTTTCCCACAAATTGTTCATAGTAACTGCCCTTCGTGTGTCTTTGTTTTTCTTTAATGAAGTATATATAGATATTCTGAATCTTATGTTGGAAAACATGGAGGTGTTCACATCAAAGTTAGCAGAGTGAATTGGTCATTTAAGGAAATAGTCTCTTCCTAAAGGTATATATCAAAAAGAATTATTTTTGATGACTAATCTTAAGTAAATAAAGGTTTTACATTCCCCAAGAAATCACTTTTCCTACTTCAAAGGCATACTTTACTTTTAAAAATTATCCCCAGTTAGTAATCCATTCCTAAGCAGTTAAAATGGTTTCTTGTTTCTCACTATGTGGTATTTCAAAAAATAAAAATAAGAACTAGCTAGGACTATTAAAGCCATGTGTTTTGCAAATATCAAGTTACATACATTTTGTCACTATTCTTTCCCTTTAAAAGATAAAGCACTAAGGCAGGTAAGTGCCTGAGACCACACAACTAGAACCAGCTGAGCCAGGCTTTGAGCAGAGGTCTCCTTGGGCCCCACCGCCAGAGGTCTTGGCTACTTTGTTTCTGCAGTGGTGGAAACAGAAAAGTAGCTTTTATAATGGATTTGAGTTTTGCTGTCAGAAACAACCAGAGTAATCCCTTTTTACATTACTTTTTAACTAACAGCCTAATAGGAATTGCTATTTCAGAGGAGAGAAAATGTTCAGTTTATTAATTCTTTCAACGATTATCTTTTCTCTAATATTCTTCTGAGTGCTACTTAGTAAAGGGTGTCCCAAAATTCACGCAAGAAGTAATTTTGATAGAAAACACAGGTTTATAATTAAAAATTGTAAATTTTTTATTGATTCATAAAGTATACAGTATAGGGTTATGTATGGAATAGCATATCGGGTAAATGGCCTCCACGGCTTTGCTGGCACATACGCACTCTTTTGTT